TGGATGCGATTAATCGTTTGACAGCCCTAGTGTATATATATTATATATAAATATGAGAATATATAGAACATGTATTATAATATATATATATATATATATATCCATATGAGAAAATTAATTTTATTTGATTTGATTTTGGGGTGAAATATGACCTGGCAGGTTTCATGAGATTCACATGATTTGTAAAATGAGTACCAGGTCGGCCAGCGGAGGGTTTACGTTCATTTTTTATTAAGACAGACCTACTGAAAACACACTGCACGGCCTTAAACCAAACAACACAAGATTTCAGTTCTGCAATGTCGTTTGAACAACAGAGGGGGCGTTCAGAAACCGTACTAAAGTATTTTGAGTAGCTTGACCCAAATGTGAGTGCCTTTCTTCAAAGAACACAAGTTGATTGATACTCTGAAGTGCCTTTTTGACTACCTCTCGACGTAAAAATAGTAGGAATAGATAAAGCGATCCATTTCTTTATGCTACAACATGACTAAGTGTTTGACTCTGCTGTTCATTGAAGCTTTCTTAAGATGCGTCGGATAGTTCACTTTGACATTTATTTTTGGCTGTGTTTTAGCTTACCTCGAGGGCATCCAAGATGTAGGTGTCTTGGTTGTCAGTTCATATAATGGAGGTCTATGGTCACCACCTCAAAGAGCATGCACAGAGAAGTCCAAATTAAACATGATTTAATGACTCGTGAATGTAAGTACACATTGATGGCCTAAGACACGAAACGAGCTGTTAGGGTTAGAAAATGAACGGTGTTTATATTGTTTTTACCAAAGCACCCGCGCCCTCAGATCACTTGGACGGGCTGTGATTACAAAAGGTAAAAAACGATATAAATACTGTTCGTTTTTCACACACAAACCGCTCGTTTTGTGTCTTAGGCCATCAATGTGTGCTTACATTTACGAGTCATTAAATCATGTTTAATTTGGACTTCTCTGTGCATGCTCTTTGAGGTGGTGACCATAGACCTCCATTATATGACTGACAGACAAACAACGGTTTGACCTAAAAATATCAAAATGCGTAAACAAAGACACTTACATCTTGGATGCCCTTGAGGACAGCTAAAACATACCAAAAATAAATTTCAAAGTGAACTATCCCTTTAAATGTCACTCTGGTACAAAGAGAAACGGCTTCACAGTTTGCTGCCCATCGAGATTTTAAATGTTAATCCTGGAACAATACCTCGATAGATTTTGCCTGTTTTTTTGTCTTTTTCAATCTGAGAATGTTTGCATTACTGTCGTGCTTTCTGGTGCTTTAACCTCAAAGAGAATGTGTGTTTCTTCTTTCGTTCATCTTCACCTTCACGTCGTCCCTGCACTGTTTACCTTCTTCTGCAACCCGTCGGATGCTTTCGTTTTGAGTTAAACGACTGTTTTTTTTTTTACTATAGTATAGTGTAAAAGGGAAAGTCATTAATTTCACCATGTTATAGTTCTTATTGTTTGCGCATACTCCCTTAAAAAAGTCGCTTTCTTCACAATTACGTTTGGATTACATGAATGCACCAGGTGTGTTTTTTACAGAACTGCCGTTTTAATGGGTCATGGGTATCTTTTGCTACTACTGAAAATGAAATCATGTTTATTTTCCCCACAGAGAACTAAAAACTTGAATTTTAGCTCTGATTTGATGTTTCAAATACCCGTACTTGATAAAATCATGTAGCATTTTCGCCCTTTAAATTGAAAGACAGCACCGTTTGTATGGAAATGTTCTTGTATGGATGGTTTTTGGTCATGAGTTGGCACTCGCTGATTGCAGTTTTTATGTCTAGATAAGTTTTGAAGGTACTGCTAATTCTTGGGTACACCTAAAAGCAGAAATGTAATGTATATTGTACAATCTTAACCTGCGTTTTTCATGTTTGAACTTCAATGACGAGAGTTTCCTCAATTGTGTTTTTTTCTTACAGCTTTTTGTTTCCATTTTTATAATTATTGTTGTTATAATTATTAATTTTATGTTTGATCCTATATGCATACATTGAAAATTGTTACTTCTGTTATTTTATGCCATAATCTAAGTGGTGTTGGCAAAAGCTTTCCCCTGTTTTTAACAATTCGTTGTGGCCTTGGTTGCCAATTGTGCATTGCAGTTATGTATCGAATATCTTCAATGTTAGGGTTTGTACAATATAATCAAAACAATGTATAGCAATACCAATAAAATGGCATGGGTCTCCTTGGACCATATTTCTTAAAACACACTTACAACTTTGTAAAAGTGTCTTTATTCTCTTTGACAAAAAGCACAGTACTGAACAACAGAGTATCTCAGCTTATAACAACTTGTGAGAGTTGATTGTATTTTGTAATGAATTATCGCCACTGCAGGTTTACTGACTGTTCAGAAATAGATAATATTCTTCTTCTTACAACAAAGTACTATGGTGTTTTAATATATATTTATAAGTTGCTGCCTTAAATGAAGTACAATCATCTTGGATGTTTAAGCTCTTTCAACTCAAATTACGTTAAACTGACTAGAAACTTCTTTTTTTTTTATCTAGAAAGTACTTTTGTGTAAATATTTCAGGATTATTTTTGGCGCACACAAATACATTTAAAGAGATTTTAACGGGATAGATAAAATTCTGTCATTTCCCCCTCATGATCTGAGCATGTATCTCTTCTGCTGAAAACTAAAGATGATATTTTAACCAAACTTCCAAAGTGTTTCCTTTAAATGTCATCTGTTTGGCTACAAACACTCTTCATAATATATTGTTTTGTATTCATCAGAACAAAGACATTTATTTAGGTTCGGAACAAATTGAGGGCGAGTAAATGACAGAATTTTCATTTTTGGGTGAACTATCCCTTTAAAAACATCTCAACGCGCTGAGAAAAGTAACAGTCTAGAAAATTTCACCCGAATAATGAATTTAATTGAAATAAGGCAGGGAATAGTTAAAATAGAACAACTATTATTTTGATCTGTCGTACCTGACCGAACAGATTAAATGAGAAAAGTAAACGAACTCATTTTCCCAACAATCCAGTCATCATCGAGGCGCTTGTTGATGACGAAACCGCTACACCGACGCCGGACTCACGCGTGACGTCACCAACTTCAATGCATTTGCTGCAAAATAGCTCTTGTGGGAAAACAAACGAATAAAACACTTCCTTTGACCATTGTATTGCAAAACTCTGATTATGCGCCATTCAAACGCGTGTGTCAGTCAAAGAGAGACGCTTGATAAAGCTTTATTTTGATTCATGTGAACACGTTTACTCATGTTACAGGTTAAAGTTAAATGATAAATGTCCAACAAACGCGTTTGATAAAGCGAATGTCTTTTCTTCAGAGACATCTGACGCTAGATCAGTAAGTTAGATGAGGAAGTCGCGGTCGGACAGGATATGAGACTCAAAAGCTCATGAAAAACTGTCCATACCAGAGATTATACTAAAGCGCCGAAGACTGTTTTGGACTGATTGAGTGAAACCTTTTCAAGTAAGTTAATAAAGGTAAGATCGGATCTCCAGCATATAAGATTGCATGTAATCCCATTTAAGTTAACCCTCAGGTGCTCTTCGGTCATTTCTGACCGAAACCTTTTCTGTTTTGAATTTTTTAAAATCACAGCTTCATCGGAATGTTACGAAACTTGGTGACTTTTTAATGGCATTAGGTATGTGAACACACAAAAAAATTAGGTCATGAAAAAAAAAAAGTCACACTTGTGCTCTTCGCTCAAAAATGACCGACCATAGGAAATGAATGGGAAATTGACAAAAACACAAAAACTTTGAGAATTTTTGTGTGTACAATCTACAAATCGGCCACGATGCAGAAAAGTGCTCAGCATTGAAGGGGTGACACTCTAAAACATCAAGAGTGCAAAACAGACATACCCACCCCTACACACACTTTTATACACAAAAACACCAATAAATTGTGATTAAAGAAATCTGTTTTGAATATTTAAAAATCACAGCTTCTTCAGAAAATTACGAAACTTCGTGACTTTTATGGCATTATGTATGTGAACACACACACAAAAAATGAAGTCATGATTCGAGCAATTTAGGTGGTCTGTCAAAAATTACCGACACATAGGAAATGAATGGGAAATTGACAAAAAAAAAAAATTCTCTGAATTTTTGTATGTACAATCGACAAATCGACTACACTTCTAAAAAAAAAAGTACACCGCAGGAAAGGGGTGACAATCTACATCTAGAGTGCAAAACAGACACACACACATACAAACACACTTTTATGCACATACACACCAATAAATTTTGATTACAAAAAGTATGTTTTGAAATTTTAAAAATCACAGCTTCATCGCGATGTTACGAAACTTCGTGAGTTTTATGGCATTATGTATGTGAACACACAAAAAATTGAGGTCATGATCTGAGCATGCTAAGTGGTCTTAAAAAAAATAGTCACACTTGTGGTCTTCGGTCAAAAATGACCCCCATAGGAAATGAATGGGAAATTGTCAAAAAAAAAAAAAATTGTGAATTTTTGTTTTTTGTCATTTTTTTTATAAGAAATAGTTTTTGAGATTGTTTCAACTGTGTATTCAAATCCAACAACAAAAAAATGTGTTCATAAACAGTTGGGGAATTCACATGCCTCTCCATAGAGAGCTGTACATGCCATCTAGTGGTTACAACATGATTCTACGCTTTTTCTCTATACTGTAACCAGATGGTGCTAATTTTCTTCAAAAAAATATTTTTTTTCTGAAGGCCTAGACTCTATATTAAACTAAAATACTGCATTAATATTTTTTTGAAAAAAATAATATATATATATATATATATATATATATATAGAAAAATATATATATATATTTTTCCATGGCAAAAATAAACCATAATAATTGCATAAATATTAATAAATTCAATTAAATTGTCTCAAAATACTAAATTAAAAAGAATAAATATTATAGAACAAAAATAAATTGCATTGGTTTTACTGGGATGGAGAAAGTTTCATTTTTAGGTGTCCGGTCACTTTTGACCGGGAAGATAACAAGTGTGACTCCGAAATGAAGAGCACCTGAGGGTTAAAAGATCCTCCATCATTTGATTGCTTTTTGCACACATTCAATTAATTGTGATTTAAAGTGTGATTTAAGTGTCTATATATAGTTTGTCACTACCTTCAATAATCTATGTCTCTGTGTGTGTTTGCAATAAGTATTTTATGTTCAGGCTTCATTTTTGATCACTGTAAAAACAGTCAAATATTACATTTAAAAGAACGGTTTTCTTTTGTATTATATTTATTCATATGATGTATGATTACATACAACATTTAAAACTTTTTATAATATATATATATATATATATATATATATATATATTATTTACTATGTTGCTTAATATGGGCTTACATACATGCTCTCTCTCTCTCTCTCTCTCTAGAGATACCTTATAAAAAACATAGTAATAACTGCTGAGAATTTATGCCACATGAATAACTACATTTTAAACATATAATAAATCAATTAGCAAACACCATCGCACACCTGCAGGTGAAAGGTGTGTCAGAAAAAAAGACCAGTACACTACCAGTTTGCAAATGAGTATCAATTTTATACATATGCTTAGGCATATATATATATATATATACACACACACATACACATATATACAGGCTCAGTGGCTGGTCTCCTTCATATCTCAGTCAGTAAACACAGATCCTCCTGGCGCCTGTCAGTGTTGTGTGTGTGTGTGTGTGTGTGTGTGTGTGTGTGTGTGTGTGTGTGTGTGTGTGTGGAGCAGCTGTGTCTGTGTTTACTGTCCCTGAGATCATAACGCTGTTGGAGCAAATGTTGATGTGTACTGGTGTAAAATGAATACACACTGATTCACTGTCATCACAAACACATGCTGCATTATTCAGATCACTCAGTGTGTGTGTGTGTGTGTGTGTGTTACTGTGAGTTTATATTAGAACGATCTTAGGGGATTTGCAAGAATCTCGTGTCATAATTTCATAAATTAATGTCAGTAGTGAATGATATGCCATAGTATTACCATAGTGTGATCCCATTATAATACCATCACTTAATGTGTCAATTAACATCAATTATAATGCATTAAATTTTGTCATAAATAATTGTAACCAAAGTTAAAATGCATTATAATATTGCCAGTACTGAAATGTTTGTCATTTGATTGAATGCATTACAACAATGAATAGATCAGTGTTATAATGAATTATACAACACTGCATTATAACACACAGTATATTACATTAAAATGTGTATATAAGTGTATGGTCACAGCCCGTCTGCAGGGTGTGTTGTGTACAGTGTCACCATGGCAACACAGTAAGTGGACCTTTGACCCTCGGGATTGAGGTGGAGCCATAATAATATCCACCAGGAGCCGCGCTTTATGATTTATGAGCGCTGATCTCTGTTTGTGGATTTACTCAGTCAAAGGTGTTTAAATGACTCGCATGGTTCCTGTGAACTAGTTCCTGTTAGAAAGCTACTGACCAAACACACCGTCTCGGTTTAATACAGATTTTAGCCAGGTCAGGTAAATATGAAATTATGTATTAAATATGTATTTTATATTATTATATAGTGTTTTTTTTTTTTCACAGTATGTTTCAACATGGCTAAAGACAAACTAAGTTCAGTTTTTAGTGCAGTGTTTAGTGTAAACAGTGTCGAGCGTAGAGTAACGCTCATTCTGAGAAATGACCAACTGAATCAACCCCGTTTTGTTTTGTGTGTTGGAACTGAATTCTCTCATCTATCCTCACAGACCATCCCATAAGACGTATCGCCATGACAACCCCAGAGCCAATCAGATTACGTGTCTTCTCTCTCAACTGCTGGTAAGTTCACTCTTTACGTCGATACGCGGCTCCTTTTGCTGAAGTATTCTGATATTCATAATTAATCTATCTAACGGATCCTACTGGGAATATTTTATAGGGTTCCAACTTAAAAAACAAAAAAGCCGAAACAAATTATTAAAATATTATCTGAAAAATATTTACCTTGTACGGAAGTGTATTGCATTCACTTGAAGAAAAAAATAATCTACTGTTTTTCTGAATTAACACGTTAATTATCTCAGAATTACCAGATAATTTTTCATGAAAAAAAGTTTCTGATGTGTTTTTCTGAATTAACGAGTTAATTATATCAGAATTACCAGATAATTTTTCATGAAAAAAAAGTTTTTGCTGTGTTTTTATGAATTAACGAGTTAATTATCTCAGAATTAGGAGAATTATTAATGGAAAAACAAGTTTTTGCTCAGTTTTTCTGAATTAACGAGTTAATTATATCAGAATTACCAGATAATTTTTCATGAAAAAAAAGTTTTTGCTGTGTTTTTATGAATTAACGAGTTAATTATCTCAGAATTACCAGATAATTTTTCATGATAAAAAAGTTTTTGCTGTGTTTTTATGAATTAACGAGTTAATTATATCAGAATTACCAGATAATTTTTCATGAAAAAAAAGTTTTTGCTGTGTTTTTATGAATTAACGAGTTAATTATCTCAGAATTACGAGAATTATTAATGGAAAAACAAGTTTTTGCTCAGTTTTTCTGAATTAACGAGTTAATTATATCAGAATTACCAGATAATTTTTCATGAAAAAAAAGTTTTGCTGTGTTTTTCTGAACTAACGAGTTAATTATCTCAGAATTACGAGAATTATTAATGGAAAAACAAGTTTTTGCTGTGTTTTTCTGAACTAACGAGTTAATTATCTCAGAATTATGAGAATTTTTAATGGAAAAACAAGTTTTTTGCTGTGTTTTTCTGAATTAACGAGTTAATTGTATCAGAATTACGAGAATTTTTAATGGAAAAACAAGTTTTTGCTGTGTTTTTCTAAATAAATTAAACAAGTTAATTATCTCAGAATTATGAGAATTTTTAATGGAAAAAACAAGTTTTTGCTGTGTTTTTCTGAATTAACGAGTTAATTATATCAGAATTACGATAATTTTTAATGGAAAAACACGTTTTTGCTGTGTTTTTCTGAATTAACGAGTTAATTATATCAGAATTACCAGATAATGTTTTATGAAAAAAAGTTTTTGCTGTGTTTTTATGAATTAACGAGTAAATTATCTCAGAATTACGAGAATTTTTAATGGAAAAACTAGTTTTTGCTCTGTTTTTCTGAATTAACAAGTTAATTATATCATAATTACCAGATAATTTTTCAAGAAAAAAAGTTTATGCTGTGTTTTTATGAATTAACGAGTTAATTATCTCACAATTACGAGATCATTTTTAATGGAAAAAGTTTTTGCTGTGTTTTTATGAATTAACGAGTTAATTATCTCAGAATTACGAGAATTTTTAATGGAAAAACTAGTTTTTGCTCTGTTTTTCTGAATTAACGAGTTAATTATATCATAATTACCAGATAATTTTTCAAGAAAAAAAGGTTTTGCTGTGTTTTTATGAATTAACGAGTTAATTATCTCAGAATTATGAGAATTATTAATGGAAAAACAAGTTTTTGCTCAGTTTTTCTGAATTAACGAGTTAATTATATCAGAATTACCAGATAATTTTTCATGAAAAAAAAGTTTTTGCTGTGTTTTTATGAATTAACGAGTTAATTATCTCAGAATTACGAGAATTATTAATGGAAAAACAAGTTTTTGCTGTGTTTTTCTGAATTAACGAGTTAATTATCTCAGAATTATGAGAATTTTTAATGGAAAAACAAGTTTTTGCTGTGTTTTTCTGAATTAACGAGTTAATTGTATCAGAATTACGAGAATTTTTAATGGAAAAACAAGTTTTTGCTGTGTTTTTCTAAATTAACAAGTTAATTATCTCAGAATTATGAGAATTTTTAATGGAAAAACAAGTTTTTGCTGTGTTTTTCTGAATTAACGAGTTAATTATATCAGAATTACGAGAATTTTTAATGGAAAAACACGTTTTTGCTGTGTTTTTCTGAATTAACGAGTTAATTATATCAGAATTACCAGATAATGTTTTATGAAAAAAAGTTTTTGCTGTGTTTTTATGAATTAACAAGTTAATTATCTCAGAATTACGAGAATTTTTAATGGAAAAACTAGTTTTTGCTGTGTTTTTCTGAATTAACAAGTTAATTATATCATAATTACCAGATAATTTTTCAAGAAAAAAAGTTTATGCTGTGTTTTTATGAATTAACGAGTTAATTATCTCACAATTACGAGATCATTTTTAATGGAAAAAGTTTTTGCTGTGTTTTTATGAATTAACGAGTTAATTATCTCAGAATTACGAGAATTTTTAATGGAAAAACTAGTTTTTGCTCTGTTTTTCTGAATTAACGAGTTAATTATATCATAATTACCAGATAATTTTTCAAGAAAAAAAGTTTTTGCTGTGTTTTTATGAATGAACGAGTTAATTATCTCACAATTACGAGAATTTTTAATGGAAAAACTAGTTTTTGCTCTGTTTTTCTGAATTAATGACTTAATTATCTTCAAGAAAAAAATATATCTCATAATTGGGAGATAATTAACTCGTTAATTCAGAAGTCAATTTTGTTTCCTCAAGTGAATGCAATACACTTACTTATCTTCCCTATCTTTCTACAAGATATTTTTCATACCAAGTGACAAAATACCTTTTTTTTTTAGATATTTATAATAAATAATTTTCATTTCATAAAAAAATATAAAACAGAAAACATGTAAATAAACCTTTTTACTGTGTGTTTCAGAAATTTGCATATGCAGATTTGTGATTTTTCATTTCTTACTGTTAAAATGGATATTTTTATTTTTCCCTCAAATGTGTATGCGCTGAATTGATATCATGAAGTGCTAAATGTGTAAAGGATGAGTGCCTGAGTTTGCTGTGATTGTTTTAGGGGGGTCCGATACCTCAGTAAGAACTGCAGGGACCGGTTTGTTCTGATCGGAGATCTGCTGAATCAGGAACAGCTGGATATAGCGTTACTGCAGGAGGTGAAGCAAACTTGCACAAGTATAGATGTTTACAAGCATACACACACACATTCATAATTTCGAATATGATTCAGATGCGTCTGTTGCCTTTCAGCTGATGGTTGAAACAGGATTGTACTGTAGAATGACATGTTTTGGTTACAGGTCTGGTGTGAGGAAGACTTTCTGTTTTTAAAGAAGAAGCTCGGCAGCGTCTATCCGTTTTCCCATTATTTTAAAAGGTAAATCATGTTTAAATGCATGAATATATCCATGAAGTCCCTGAAAAGTTCTTCAGGCTTTAATGCACAAATTTGGGACACAGTTGTGAACGCATTTTCTCGTCTTCAGTGGATTTATAGGAAGTGGACTGGCCGTGTTTTCCAGACATCGAATCCATGACGCTTTTCTGTACAGATACTCATTAAACGGATACCCGTACATGGTGGGTCTGATCAATTATGTGTACAGACATCCTGCTTTTCTACTTTAATATAAATGAAGTTTACAAGAAATGATCATATTCACAATATAGCACATTATTGAGTACCTTATTGCATTTATAAAATACTTAATAATGTACATAATAAACATATTATGGTTTTAAACAATATTTTACATCCTAATCAGTCAAAACTGTAAACCATACATCAATTATTGACACATACTTACTTATTAATAAACTGTGTCACATACTTATTAAACAACTGTGTGTAATGATCTGATCTTGAATCAGGCTCAGCATGGCGACTGGTTCGGTGGCAAGGCTGTCGGGAAGGTCCTGCTTAACATCAGTGGGCTGAATGTTCATGTCTTTGTAACTCATGTAAGTTCATGCAAAATGTGTGTACGAGTCTTATTTTACTATTGAAGTATTTATTTATATTTTGAATTTACTGTTTATTTTTCATTTTAGTTATTTTATTATGTGCTTTTGCCATTAGCACTTATGTATGGAAGCTTGTTTTCGCCACAGAATGAAAAAATAAAAAAGGTAATTGAGACTTTTTATCTCGCAATTCTGACTTTATTTCTCAGATTTCCGTGTTGTAAAGTCAGAATTGATTGATATAAAGTCGAAATTGTGAGATATAAAGTCGCAATTGCGTGATATAAAGTCAGAATTGTGAGATATAAAGTCAGAATTGCGAGATATAAAGTCAGAATTGTGAGATGTAAAGTCAGAATTGCGAGATATAAGTCAGAATTGATTGATATAAAGTCGAAATTGATTGATATAAAGTCGAAATTGCGAGATATAAAGTCAGAATTGATTGATATAAAGTCGAAATTGCGAGATGTAAAGTCAGAATTGATTGATATAAAGTCAGAATTGCGAGATATAAAGTCAGAATTGCGTGACAAAGTCAGAATTGATTGATATAAAGTCGGAATTGATTGATATAAAGTCAGAATTTTGTGATATAAAGTCAGAATTGATTGATATAAAGTCGAAATTGTGAGATGTAAAGTCAGAATTGATTGATATAAAGTCAGAATTGATTGATATAAAGTCAGAATTGATTGATATAAAGTCAGAATTGATTGATATAAAACACAACACTGGCATGAATGTTTGTTTATTCCAGCTGCATGCAGAATATTGCAGAGAGAAAGATTCATATCTCCCGCACCGAGTGGTTCAAGCCTGGGAGCTGCAACAGTTCATAAGGTCAGAAGTCTATTTTTGCAGTTTTACCCATGATGGCTGTGGGTTTATTTCAAGCCTAACATACACTCACCTAAAGGATTATTAGGAACACACACTAACACTGTGTTTGACCTTTAGAACGGCCTTAATTCTACGTGGCTTTGATTCAACAAGCATTCTTTAGAAATGTCGGCCCATATTGATAGGATCGCATCTTGCAGTTGATGGAGATTTGTGGGATGAAGCTCCCGTTCCACCACATCCCAAAGATGCTCTATTGGGTTGAGATCTGGTGACTGTGGCGGCCATTTTACTACAGTCAACTCATTGTCAAGAAACGACTGTGACATGGTGTTTTATCCTGCTGGAAGTATCCATCAGAGGATGGGGAAATGGTGGCCATAACGGGATGGACATGGGCAGAAACAATGCTCAGGTAGGCCGTGGCATTTAAACGATGCCCGATTGGCACTAAGGGGCCTAAAGTGTGCCAAGAAAACCATTACACCACCATCACCTGCACAGTGGGAACAAGGCATGATGGATCCATGATCTCATTCTGTTTACGACTCGACTAAACAGAAATCGAGACTCATCAGACCAGGCCACATTTTCCCAGTCTTCAACTGTCCAGTTTTGGTGAGCTCTTGCAGATTGTCGGCTCTTTCTCCGATGTGTAGTGGAGATGAGTGGTACCCGGTGGGGTCTTCTGCTGTTCAAGGTTGTGTGTGTTGTGGCTTCATACCTCGGTTGTAACGAGTGGTTATTTCAGTCAAAGTTGCTCTTCTATCAGCTTGAATCAGTCGGCCCATTCTCCTCTGACCTCGAGCATCAACAAGGCATTTTGGCCCACAGGACTGACCCATACTGGATGATTTTCCCTTCTCACACCATTCTTTGTAAACCCTAGAAATGGTTGTGTGTAATCCCAGATTGTGAAATACTCCGACACCAACAACCATGCCACGCTCAAAACTGCTTAAATCCCCTTTCTTTCCCATTCTGACATTCAGTTTGGAGTTCAGGAGATTATCTTGAGCAGGACCACACCCCTAAATACACTGAAGACACTGCCATGTGATTGGTTGATTAGATAATAGAGAGCCTAAGTACCGCCCCTTCCGGTCGACCACCATTGGACCTTATTTCGGAAAAATATTGAATGGTAGTCGATGGCGAGAGACAACAAATATTTTGATCTGGTTTGAATTGTGCCCTGAATTACACATATGATGTTTGTCAATTTAAAAAATACATTTTAAAGTAAAGAAAGTCGCAGTTTGATGTAAAACCGTTGACTGTGAAAATACGTAAGACTACAAACCCCAAAGGCGCACATTTTCTCTCAATGAATGAATAACTTACTGAGGCTGTCTGTCATTGTTTCTATAGTCTTACGTTATAATCGTAACGTTACGCCGTCATGCCTGAGTGTTTTGTACCACATGAGCAGCGGATCTCACTCGTTGTTTCGCTTCTGGGAGATGTAGTTCACAGAGCGATTTTCACATAAAACTAAAAGTTACTCTTCTGTTTTATGACAAACTGCGACGTTTTTGACTTTCAGGATTATCTTTTAAATCGACAAACATCATATGTGTAATTGGGGTCACAGTTCAGACGGAATAAAAAGATAAGTTGTCTCTCGCCATTGACTACCATTCATATTTTTTCCGAAATAAGGCCCCATGAGCCGGAAGCGGAGGGGCGGGACTTAGGGGCTCTATTGCATTAATGAGAAATTGAACAGGTGTTTCTAATAATCCTTTAGGTGAGTGTAGTTTTTTTAATCTTTCAATGAAAGTTGCCTGAGATCACACTGATCTGATCAGGGTTTTTGTTGAAAACAAACGTAAGCCACTCAGATTCCTGCTCTGATTCCTCAATGTATACGACTTAAAGGCACACGAGTGCTGGAGCGGACGTGGTGATCCTGGCTGGAGATCTGAACATGCACCCGGGCGACCTCGGCACCAGACTGCTGAGGAACTACACCGGACTGCTGGATAGCTTCAGTGAGGCCGCCCACTTTGACGTTAGTAATGCAGTGTGATCTTATGATGATATGTTGCATAGCTTTACTCCTGCTGTTAAGATGCGTTCTGGTCCATCGGATCATGAGTAGACGATGCAGACACATCCCCGTTTACACCTGGTGTCTCTTTCGCAGTGTTGGATGTAACTAATTACTAACTAATTACTGTAATTTAATTACTTTTCCCTTGAAAATGTAAAGTAAGGGATTACTCTTCATTTATCTGTAATTTAATTACAGTTACTTCTGATGTAATTGAGGTAAATACTTATGAGGCGACCGCACTCGTACAAATTCGTATGAATTATTGTAAAATATGCATGAAAATGTGTGAGATCAGACATAAAACAATAGTGGGTTTAACATCAAAATGTATTGTCTGATGTTAAAAAGTATGTTTTTATAATGTAACCTTCTCCACCTTGGTCCGTTTAGGGATAATTCGTGCAATTTTATAGTATTTATTTGAAAGAATTAAAGCAGATTCATGTCTATCCTTGTTTTATTCTGCTGGTTGAGATTGATAATTAGTAATTAAATACTTTTTAGAGAGAGTAATCTAATTACACTGTTGAATTAGTAACTAGTAATTAATTACTTTTTTAGAGTAACTTACCCAACACTGCTCTTTTGTCCTCTTTCAATCACTTCTGTCCTGATTTCTTCGAGGGGAGTGTTTATGGGTGGGGAAATATGTTTTTTTGTTTTCAGATCGGAAGAAACACACGGAGAGCAGCGGCTTTAGTTTCTCGGACAGACTCAAGACCAGACGAACGCTGTGAGTGTGTGTTAGATATCAGGAATGATGAGAGAACATTGTGATGGTTCGTTTTTTATAGAACCAAAGTTTGGTCTCAAGCCGAGCAAGTTTAAATCCCGTCTGGCTAGAGCGCTTCCCATAATCTTTAAAGGTCAGTAGGCGTCTCGTGTGGTTGTTTTAATGGATTCGAACACATGAGTGTTTACAGTACAAAAGCAATCCGGTCGAATGTGTTTTCAACTACCGTAAACGTATATGTGTTTCCGTCGTCTACTTGTGATCCGATCGACCAGAACGCATCGTAATGGCACAGCAGGAGTAAACAGGGCTCAAGTTATGATTTATAATGATATCCTGTCTGTCGCTAATACCAGGGATGTGAGGAAGGATTCACCCATATATCTGAAAACCCTTTCACACACACGGATGGTCTCGTTCCTTTTGGGGGAGGAGTCCGGATAGACTACGTCCTGTTCAAGGTAAAACAATTTCTATTACGTAGTTATTAGTATGATAATTTACTCGCCCCCATGAAATCCAAGACGTCAGTCGAAAAGAAATGGAGGTTTTTGATGAAAACATTCCAGGATTTTTCTCCATATAATGGATTTCAATGGGGACCAAACGGTTCAAGGTCCAAAAGACAGTTTCAGTGCAAACCGCAAACTGTTCAAAGGGCTTTAAACGATTCCAGACGATGAATAAGGGTCTTATCGAGTGAAACGATCGCTCATTTTGATGAACGACTTCAAACGGGAGAGTCACGAATGCGCATCACAGAGCAGAGCAAGGCGAGCATTTGAGCTTATAAAACATAAACTTTGTTATTTTTTTTAAATGAGCGATGGTTTCGCTAGATAAGACCCTTATTCATCGTCTGGTGTCGTTTAAAGCTGCACTGAAACTGTCTTTTGGACCTTGAACCGTTTGGACCCCATTGAAGTCCATTATATGTAATGTTTTCAACAAAAACCTTAATTTCTTTTCGACTGAAGAAAGAAAGACGTGGATATCTTGGATGACACGGGGGCGAGTAAATTATCAGCAAAAGTTTTTAAAAAAAAGTGAACTACTCCTTTAAGTGGTGTTTTCTGAGACTCAAACTGTTGCTTATAATCTGGTTTAATGGTCTGTACAAACCCAAAATATTAAACTTTGACAACTTTCTAGTTTTCGAACTATTCTTGGAACGATAGATTCTTCTACCTAATAGTTTTGTCTTTCTTTGCTCGTACACACAAATACTGACAGCGCTGTTTCTTGCAGGGATCAGAGGAAGTAGATGTGCGCTGTGAGTCTTTGTCCACCACTAAGGGTCCAGTTCCTGGACAGCCCTTTCCTTATTCAGACCACGAAGCTCTCACTGCCGAGTTCCTGTTTACACCAACTAAAAAGGGAAATGGATGCAAAGAGAGAGAATTTGGCTGTATTCCAGGTATTTGGAGTCTTGAAATATTATTACGTTCATTTTTGCATGCAACAACAACAACAACACAATAAACACATGCTGTGCTATTTTCTGCTCCATAATGAAGTTTGGAAATTGACTCTGTTTTTTGGATGTCAAGGTGTTTTATAGGAACATTTCACCCAAAATATTCATGTACTCGCCCTCATATTGTTCCAAAATCACATAATATATATATATATATATATTATTTATTTTTATTTTTTATTTTTTTTCCTGAGAAATGCATTAAGGAGAAAATGAGAAATCTTCACATAACTTGCCTGAGAAGGTAGTACAAAAAATGATTGTTGATTATAATTTTTTTTATTATTAAATGATTATTTTCATTTTGGGGTGAACTACTTCTTTAAAGATTGTTTTGACATCATCAACTATTTGAGGCTGGTAATATGTTTTTTAAAACGAGGTTTTTGGAAGAAGTATCTTTTATTTGATCAAAAATACAGTAACAGTAATATTGTGAATCGTCAATAAAATGGGTAAGTTGTTTTTAGTAATAATAGAAATATTATTAATAATAAATTTAATGTAGATTTATACGATTACTTTCAACTATATAACAATTAAAATGCTAAAAAAGAAACATTAAATCAAACTTAATTGCATTTTTTCCCTCAATAACTAATCAATTATTTTTATCGAAAAATATATAGTTTTTGAAACTTCTGAAATCGTATGTATGTATTTATGGACCACCTTTTATTTGATCAAAAATACATTATATTATTGCAATTTCAAATAAATGTTACGTATTTATTGTATTTATTCCTGTCATCATTACTTCAGAAATCACTCTAATATGATGATTTGCTGCTCAAAAAAACATTTCTGATTATTATCAATGTTGAAAACAGTTCATATTTTTGTGGAAACCATGATGCATTTTTCTTTTCAGGATTCTTTTAATGAACAGAAAGGTTTTAAAAAACAGCATTTATTTGAAAGGGAAAGGATAAATGTCAATTAAATGTCAACTTTTCAATAGTGTCTATGTATGTTTCTCTCTCAGATAAGCTTCCTGAGCTGGTCAACACAGTCAATGAAGCTCGTACTGAAGTAAAGGTGGGTCTGCACTGCTCTGAGCGCATGCGCCACACCGCGGCTCGCACAGGCATCATGGGTCTCGTCCTGCTAGTACTTGAGTTAGCCATCGCCGCTGTGCCGTTGTTTGCTCTGGGAGCTGAACAGCCCTTCCCTAAAGCCTCTTTCTACCTGCTGGGGGCGCTGTGCTTTGCCGTCCTCCTCTCTACACTGATGCTGTACATCTTCTACAGCATGGAGGTCAAGGCACTGGAAGGCACTGAGGACCAGATGAGACTGGCACTAAGTAGCCTTCAGGAACGGATTAAGGAGTACCCCAAGGCTTTATCATCGGACCATTTGCGAAATTCACTCGACGGCAAGGATTCGGTGCGTTTGTAGCAAAAAAGCTGAACTAAATGTGGTGATCTGAAGGAATACTGAACTAAAACTTTATGAGAAGGACAATGGGTCACTATTTTTGATGTCTTAACTGAACTCAACACAAACTATGCGTTTTTTTCAGGGGTTTTTTTACAATACATTGAGGATAAATCTTCTGGAAACCAGAAAATTAGACAAAATCATTAATTCCATGACATATCTATTTCACTTCATTTGTTCAGTCCAGGGGGCCTGAGGCTGCAGGATGACTTAAAATGTTATATATTCATATAATAATCACTTAATATAGTTAATATAATGGGGAAGCCGTTTTTAGTAATAAAAGAAATATTATTAATAATAAATTTAGTGTAGATTTATACGATTACTTTCAACTATATAACAATTAAAATGCTTAAAAAAGAAACATTAAATCAAACTTAATTGCATTTTTTTTGTCAATAACTAATCAAGTATTTTTTATCGAAAAACATATGAAGAGTTCAGATGCAAAAGCCTCTAAATGCCATTTGAAATTTTCTTCTAGAATGATGATTTTTATCAAGCTTGTATATTTAAGTTCAGTGATTTCACTTAAATGACAATGATAATTACCTATTAATTGTTATTTAAGTGAAATTACTGAACTTAAATATACAAGTTTGTCAAAAATCATCATTAAAGAAGAAAATTTCAAATGGCATTTAGAGGCTTTTGCAGCTGAACTCTTCATATAGTTCTTGAAACTTCTGAAATCATATGTATGCATGTATTTATGGATACATATAGATTTGAAACCACTGCTTTAGAATAATTTACCACTAATTAAATATTCCTTTGTTGACTTTTTTTAAATGGAGACCTGCTGAGCAGGCGTTCCTCTCCTTTGTATGTTAAATGTTTCCAATCATCCACTTTTGAAGTGTGCTTTTATTGTGAATGTGAACAGTTATGTTCATGATACGGCCATTTCGCGATACCAGAAACAACCAAGTGGAGAAAGATAAATCATAGCCTATCATTTAAATTGTTTTGTCAATCCATAAAGTTATTTTCCTTTTGTTTAACCTGGCAACAACCTCATTTATCTCTAATATAACTGTTCTGTTACACAAGTCTACCTTTTAAATAAAAAAGAAAATTCAGCAAGGTGATGTTTTATGTTTATTTTAATGTGATACTTGCCACAAGGGTGCAGTGTTGGTTAGAAGAAACATACGAATCTTTGGTGAGTTTAGAAAAAGTCTCATGGTAGCTGTTAATTATTATTACCCAAATATCCAGTATATTGTCAGTTACGGCATTTAGTGGATATTTGAACTTTTGTTTGAGGATGAAGTTTGGCCTTTCTCAGAGTTTGCATAAAATATTACGCAATAACTTAAATAATCACAGCAAAATGAAGTTTTTAATTGGTGTTTATTATGGTTATTTATTCTCACTTAAGTACAAGAATAGAAAAGTGAGCTCTCCTCGTCTCTGTCACTTAGGACAAACATTGATTGTCTGAAAGTATACGCTGTCATGTGCAGGTGACGCATTGAGACGAGACCCGCCCGTACACTCGTCTGGGTGTGTCCGACTGTTGTCTGCACATGTGCGGTTACTAATGCAGGCTGATGGCCCAAATAATGAGTCTTCACTCTTAGTCATGGAGGTTCTCAGCTTGAGCTCTCATGGCTGCAGTCTTTTGTTCATTTTGGAAAATAGTGTCTCAAATAAATAGATCAGAGCGAAAACACATTTGGATCTATATTTTCATATATATTCAATAGTATATATTTAAGGTTTGGGATTGCACAGTAAAACATTCAAGGCACATTCATTGGGAAAAAAACACAGTAACATTTTGACCAAGTTATGACCAAAAGCAGGTCTTTTAGACTATTCTGTCTGTCACAGATGGTATAGACTTCAGTACAGAGAAAAATGTGAGAAATGATATCAACTTAATTTTTAGAATGGTATAGTAAGCTAATTGTAGGCGCAACATGCTTTTTTTACGGTCATATTTACTTCACAATGCATATAAATGAATGTAATTCCTTTGATTTAGCCTGTGTAGCAAATATATCAAATAATATGTGTAAGGTTTCATTATTTAACATAAGTTTACTTCTTTATTAATCTTCTTAGTCAATGTTATTTTCAACATTATTGTATTTGTTATCATTAGTGTAGGCTATGAACTAACATGAATAATAAAAAGCTGGATTTGTAAGGTTTAATAAATACTGCAACAAATGTATTGCTAGTTCATGTTAGCTAATAGGCTACATTAACTCATGTAAACAAATGAGACTTTAATGTAAAGTGTTACCAATTTATTCAATATAACAAATTTATTATCTGACTTTATTATTTTTATAGAAATAGTTTTGGATGCTAAATACAATGTGGTCGTTCTATTATTGTTTACGAAGGGACTATATTTTCTAGCGGAAGTGTGTCACTGACCATTTGCGTATTTTTAAAAAAAATTATTTAAGTTTGAAATCGTCTCGTCTGATATTTTTATGTACTTTAAAATACTGTATTAAAGCATAAACAAGTAGAAAAGCAATTAAAACTATGTTTTGTGAATAAATACGCCGTGCCTTACAACGCCCTACACAACAAAATCAAACGCTTTTAAAGCACATCTATTATCCTTATTAAAAGTGACAGTTTGTTTTATCATTAAAGGGCTTTCTTAGACTCATCATCAGTGAGAGGAGCAGAAAAAGGTGTTGAATGGGCATTTGGGCGTCACATGGGCGTGAATTAGGGCAGGTCTAGTTCAATCTCTCTGTGAGTCAAACCCTGAATCAAACGCACAACAGTCAGACGGAGCAGATAGTTGGAGCTTTACGAATCGGACCTCACCTGTCTCTGGAGGAGAGGCAAAAGCAAAAATGATGCCCGAACCTTTAAAATCGGCTCTTTCGATAGGAACTGTGGAGGACACGTCGCTCGCGCTCCCGTCCGATCAATCCGCGAGATCCGCGCAACAGAGAGTCCTGGACCAGGTGCACACTATCAAGAGGAGCAAGTCCAAATACAGCAGCAAGAGTGTGTCCGGCCTCCCCTCACCCACCAGTGAGTTCATCTCGGCATTGCATTTAATACCAGACGGATTGCATTCCTCCTAGTCAAACTAGGAGGTGTTTTTTTAGTTTAAATTGATAGTTTGGTTGTTAAAGAGTCTAAAAAACCTCCATGCTATTAGAACAAAAGACACATTTTGGTTGCGTTTTATTTTACAGTCTTGTTCCCCATGCACATATTTTATAGTTTCTTTCTTCTGTCGAACTCAAAATAAGATATTTTGACGATTTCCATCGACTTCCATTTTAGGAAAAATACAATGGATGTCAACGGGGACCAGAAACTGACGGCTTCCAATATTATTTAAAAAAGCTATCCGTAGTTTCCTTATATTAACCAGTACTTTCTCATTGTTAAGTGCACATACTGTAAAATAAAGTGCAACCCACATTTTGTTCTGCCTGCAGTGCTAGTGCAGTGAAAGTGAAATGATATTATGTGGAGTTGCTCAGATCAACTTGTTCAACTTGATTGGCATTTTTGTTCTCTGTAGAAAATGTTTATACTGTATGTTCATCTATAAAGACCCATTTATACCGTATGTGGATTTATATTTAGTGTATATCTGAGGCCTTTGCTCAATAAGACATTTAAGGCACCTTCCTTGGGGCAAAAAGGCTTGATAACATGGTATTTGCATATTTTTTCACGTCATACTTTTTTTTTTTCTGAACTTAAATGCACTTTTTACAGGAACGGTCACAAAAAAGTGACATGGATTTTTTGTTTTAGATGGGGTACCATAGTAATATTTCCATTACCAAAACTTCTAAAGTAATATTTCAAGGAGAACATTACGCCAACTGAATCAAATTGTCTATTGATTTCTATTATAAACTCTATTTATATGTTCGATAGACAATCCAATACCGTGCAACTGAAAATGTGCATGATTTTCTTTCTTTTTAAAAAAAGAAATCCCTTTAATTGTAAAATATGTATCTTCCTATATTAATATTCCTAAAATATGTACCTCCGCTCTGTAAAATATGTCCCTTCCTATATTACATTAGTTATAGGTTAATAATAATAATACATTTTATTTGGCCAACGCCTTTCTAAATACCCAAGGACATCTTACATGTTTCGGAGGACTTTTTAAAAAAAGGATAACATATTAAAATACATTTAAATTCATAGTAGGCTAATACATGTTACAAATAAATCAGTAAAATGCTAAGAACGCCAGAAGAAAGCACTATAAAAGAGTGTCAGGAGCTTAACTTTGGCAATGTAGGTTTTAAAGATTAAAAGCTTTCTTAAAGAGATAGGTCTTTAACATTTTTTTAAATGATACTGCAAATATTCAAAACGTCCCTCAATGCATGATTTATTTTGGATAAGAATTATAACGCCCTAAAACAGTTTCTTCGATTGCAGGTCCTGAAACTGACAGTGTGTTTTACGACTTCAAGTTTTCTCCCGGAGCCTCGTTCAGCAGAGGAGGAACCATGACCAATGGGGTAAATCATCAGTCATTTCATTCTTCACACGTTCGCTTATTTGTATTTTGCTAATGAGGAACTTCGGGTGTGTATAAATCGTTGTGATTTTCCCACGGTTGGGTGTGTAAAACACATTTCTTTATTCATTAGGCTGAGCGCTTCTCTTTTTAGTCATCGATTCCAGATTACAATAGATATCTGTGGAATGCCAAACGAGCTTTAGCTTGTAACTAATAACGCAGTACGGCTGTCGAACGATTAATCGCGATTAATCGCATCCAAAATAAAAGTTTGTGTTTACATAATATATGTGGGTGCAATTATATAAATACACACACATGCATGTATATTTAAGAAAAAAATATGATTTATATATAAAATATTTATATAAGTATATATATAAATACACACACATGCTTGTACATATTTAAGAAATATTTTCATGTATATACTGCAAACAGATTTATATATACTTATATAAATATTTTATATATAACTCATATTTTTTTCTTAAATATACATGCATGTGTGTGTATTTATATATATAAAATAATTATCCACAGTGCACCCACATATATTATGCAAACACAAACTTTTATTTTGGATGCGATTAATCGTGATTAATCGTTTGACAGCCCTAATATTTAGGGCCTGAGCGCCGATGGTGAGAGAATTGCTCTGTTTATTATTATTATTCTCCAAAATCGATCGCATTTTTGAGGGCCGAAAACTGCACACACGTCAGAACTGGTGAAAATTTAGATCTGATATGCGTTTCAGAATTGGGCGGGGCAAAATGACTCGATAGCGCCACCTATAAAGGTTCAACGGAGTGCGCCTCCCGCTACGTTTCACGTACGTGTACGAAATTGGGTACATGCATGTAATGACCCAATACCTACATAAAAGTCTCTTGGAGCCATTTTGATCTTCCTCTCCGATTTTTGTGCCGTTTTTGCCATTTTCAGGCCTCGTACTTTAACGAACTCCTCCTACAGTTTTGGACATGAGGACGGAAAAAACAATCCATCAGTGTGTCTGTTGAGTCTAATACATTCATTGCTACTGTCGACACTTGTCTAGTTCACTGTTTTCTAGTTAGTTATGGCAGAAAAAGCAAGAATCATGGGAAAAAGCTAAATGAAACCACTCCTCTCCTTCCCTTTTCTGACTCATCAGTGTTGTGTTACCAAACAGCCTGGTTTCTAGGTATTCTGCCAATTTTTCTTTACATGTTGGGTGTATCCATGGGAGTCTTGTTTGGCTTTAGTGGAGCGTCTAATCCAGCCGTGTTGTGTTCCAGCCTAATTTTTTATGTTGTTTTTATTTGCGTAAAACCCTGTTTTGACATCCTGCAAAAGTTATCACCTTTATTTATAGTGCTTTAAAGTGTTTCAAAGCAGCTTTACTGTAACAAGTAGGAAAGTAGTGATGACGGATGCAAACAGAGCTCTCAGAAGACAACGGGGTCATTGTTCAGTTAAGTGTTGACTCAGTACGGTTCATTAACCGTTTACAGTTCATCAGCGATGTCATCATCTAGCTCAGTTCACTTCTCATCTAATACTGTCAAATCAATGATATTGCTGAATATTATGTGAACTATAATGTGGCAAA